TGAAGAAATTGGCTGGAGTATGAAGGATGAAGAAGGTGATCTTGAGAGCTTCTTGAGTTTAGAGAGAGAGAGAGAGAGAGTTTCATATTTTGAAATGTGAAAATGAGTTGTAAGTGGAGAAAATAATGATATTTATATCTGGATATTAGGAGGGGGAGGGGGGGGTGGCCGGCCATGGGGCGCCCAAGCCCAATATATATATATATAATATATATATATATATATTAATTAATTAAATTTAAGCCCCAAAATTGTTAAAATGTCATTTTTCTCAATTTTGACATTTTTCTTCAAATTATAAACCCATGTTGGTTAAATTCATTTAAATAAAAAGTTTTATATTTAAAACACTAAAACCTTGTGTTTTATATAAATTGGGTATAAATTGGAGCATTTGGCACTATATAGGACGTTTCAGATAGTTACGGGTCGGAACCGGACTTTCTAAGCAACTACCGGAAACTCTAGAAATTTTTTGGCCAATCTAATCTAACTAACTCCTAATCTTATAAATTATCTTTAATAACACTAATATAAACTTAATAAAAGCTAACCTGGAAGCTCAAATTTGACAATTGTCACAGTAAATCTGAAGTAAGAGCAATCCTACTTTCGTTTTCTTCCAAACATCGCAATATATCACTTTCTTTTATTTCGTAAATCCTCATGATGTCGGACTTGATTGTAGCTCTACAAGGCACCTTAAATAAAGGTTGAAGACCATTTGAATACTTTCGAAAGCTATGATACTCAACAATAGAAAATGGATAATCATGAAGAATGATCATCTTAATTAAATCATCCCGTGAGCTTTTAGCACTAAAGTTATAATTACTCAACAAAGATGTTTTTCCATCATTGGTGGTCTGCTCTTGAACTAGCATATGTTGCCTTATGTCCTTTATAACTCTCATAGGACATCTTGAAATGATCTTGCAAATGTGTCTTCTCATCATTGGGTCTACCAGTCATCTATTTATTGCAATACTTACATTTTGTAAATCGACGAAGAGCATCAATATATATTGCTTCAAAATGGTTCCAGACAACAAATTTCAATCTTTTGTTTGATGGTTCAATCTCAAGGCTAATATTTGAGCCCATAGGCATGCTTACAGATTCGTTGGTGTCATTACAAGTCGTTTGATCTTTATCGTTTCCTTCCGTAGCATTACATTCAATATCTTTTGTGTTCTTGTTTTATGAATTTTCCATCTCAGAAAATAATCTGAAATTAGGCACAATCTTAGTAAATAGTGTAGAACCACAAGTTTATGTATATAAAACATGACATATATGTACATAGCAACATATATTTATGTACATATACAATACATGTCATCTTCTAAATTATTATATTAGTTTTGAATAACTACGAGCAGCATGTATACAGAGGCAAAGGGGCTCGTAAATTGTGTAGAACCAACTCAATGGCTACTGGCTAGTGAATAACCATGGCCTAGGTGAAGCTAATAGATGTCATTTATCAATGATCTTCTATAACATAAATCACCAAGAAAAATAAGCTACTTGAATGTGAACAAAAACATAATAGGAAATGCAATTATGTAAAGAACAGTAGAACACATATCATAATTAATGTCCTTTAGAACCATCATCACCATTTAAAAAATAATGTGTTACTGTGTTTTCAAAAGAATAGTTCTAAATCAGTAAATCATTCTATTAATGTCCAAAAGAATAGTTCTAAATCATTCTTTAATGTTGAATAACAACATTGTCATCTTCTTAGAAATTAGTAAAATTGGGTTGAAGGCTTGAATCAAACAGAACTTCACTCGAATTTGATGGAAAAATTGAATCAAACAAAACTTTACTCAAAATTGAAACAAGCAAACATAAAACATAGAAAATTAACAAAACACAACCCCCCCCCCCACCATATCCATATCAATGTGTTAAATCAAAAAAGGAAAGGAAGAAAGACTGAAAGAGCAACTACTTAGTACTTATCATAGTTGAGTGCCCGACAGCCTGAGTAGTGAGCCTGAATGCCTGAGTAGTGAGTCTTGACGATGACGACAATGACGAGGGTGAATGTCGAGCCGTCGAGGGAGACGTTGTTGAGTGCCTGAGAGTAGTGGTGAGTCCTGAAGAGAGACGATGACGATTGACGACAATGACGATTGGCGAGGGTGAGTCTGGTGACTGTCGTCGGTCGAGGGCTCAGGGCTTATGCAATTATGACTTATGTGGTACATACGAATCGTATGATGAAGACATGAAGTCCATGTCCATAGCCCAAAAACATATTGGTCCCAAAGCCTAAAAACAGAAGGCCCAAACTAATGATATTAATATACCGGGTGCGGGGCGGGGCGGGGGATGCAATACCCGGCCTCGGCCACAACCCGATTTTCCTATACCGGGATCCCCGTTCCGGTCGGGTGAACCGGGTTCCCCATCGGGTTGGGGCAAATCACCATCCCTAATTGATTTGATTTAAAAGGAGAAGGTGAATGTTGTCGATGCTTGAAACTTCTCACTTATTTGTAAACCAGGAAGTTGAATACATTCTTTAGGTGAAAACCCTAGTCTCTCTCTTTCTCTCTCCATAGTTTTCGCTTCCTTTCAAGCTTTGAGTCTAACAACTCAACGGAAGAAGATAACTCCATTTCCGTGTGAGCAAAAACAAGATTCGATTCATTAACATGAGTATCATGGAGGCTACAAGCTACGTTAGTTGTTTTGACTCAAAAATTCAACAACAAAGGTTGTTCATTGAGATATAAATTTCGGAACTCCTATCCCACCAGTTTTGTATAGATACTTGGAGGAATACGGTTATTTTTTGTTATGTCAATGGCTCACGTATTCCAATAGTGATATTAGAGCATCTTATAATTTCAGTTTAATGTTCAACTTGCTAAGTTAAACAAAGGTAAAGTAACCCAAAGTGTACTCTACAACTTGCTAAGTTGTTTTATTAAAGAACTTTGATCATTATTTTAATATTAATTTTGCCTTTGTACGACTGTATTTAATAAATTAGTTATTTATGAAATTTGAGAAATGACAGAAGTACCCAAGAAAACTCAATTCGAGGTAATTCGATACATGGTTGATGCAACATTAGGCTAAACTGTATTTATTGGGTTGGAATTCGGTTAGGGTTATTTGAAACCAACCAAACCTGATGAACCCGATGCCTTTCTAAACTATAATTTAATATGATTGTTAAGTTTTTGATTAATATACGTGCATTAAACATTAGACCAACCCGTCAATAGCTCTATTCAAAATTATATTGTAATATTAATCTTCAAATTTTTTTGAGTTTGTTAGCCTTTTTTGAACGTTATCATTTTAATTTTACTTTGTTTAAACACAAACGTTTAGTTAAATTGTAAAATGATGTACCAAAGTTTCAACCTGACCAACCCAATCTAATCCGCACGGTTTGGGTTGGGTTGGGTTGTAGTTTTTTTTTTTTTGTTGATTTGGATTCATATTTTTCAAACCGCAAATATTGGGTTGGGTTGTTTCAAATGTCTTCAATCCGACCAACCCAACCCATATGCAGCCTAAATCCAAACCATTTTGGTCTGCTATGAAAATATAGGTGTTGAATTCGAACCCATTTTGACTGGTTCAATCTGCCAATCATATATAAATTAAAGAAGTCTTGAGTAAGAAACTCTCAACGTTTCAAAATAAGTGACTATATTACTATTTTAGTTTGTTTCAAAAGTAGATGTCTACTTTACCATTCTACCCTTAATTATGTAGTGGAGAAAATTTCTCTATATATAATTAAGGATAAAACTGTCTTTTTGTTATTTAAAGAGTAATAATTACATATCTCTAAAGATGCGTCTTTTTTTCCATTGTGGGCATTTATTTTGGAACTGAGGGAGTATTAATTATGATTGTTTTGATAATTAAACACCCTTTTGAAATAGAAGCAACGTCTGCATACATCATACTCGTTGGACCTTATCTTTAGGTGAGATATACTGGGTTTGGTAATCAACTGATTATTAAACTTTATGTTATCATATAAACCATGTTTTTTTGGAAGTATATAATATTTATATACGACAAATAGAACAAATAAACTCACACACCCTTCTCACCTAAGGTCATATACTATTTCGCTTACTAATACTAAAAAACAAACCAAACAAATCTAGTATATACTTTTCAAGAGGAGTGTAATTATGTCTTCTACCTCAGAGGATAGAAAATACATGTTCATTGTGTTTTTTATTGATAAAAATGATTGATATCGCAAAGTTCTTTCCAAATGAAAGGAATTGTTAATACTAAGATGTCTTCCAGGTGATCGTGACAGTCTGAGGGTTTCGATGAAACAATATCGTGTTCAAGATGGAGACAACTTCTATCACGATTTGTTGTGGAGAACATGTCCTTTTGGTGTCGAGCAACTTCATGTGAACAGTAAGTCGGCTTATACTTAATTAGTATAGCTTTCGACTTTTTTTTGGAGGTTTTGATCAATTATTGTGAAATTGCAACAGTTTTTGAGGTGTCGTTCTATTTCTAAACTTGCAACAGTTTGTTTTTGGCGATTATCAAAACATATCTTCATTGCAACGCTAGTCCCCCCCCCCCCAAAAAAAAATTGTGGTTCAATCGGTGGTTATATCTTTCTTTTAAAAATTAAATAGAAAATATATAAAAAATATCTACCTCTATTTTGTTAATTGAAAATTGTCGAAATATAACTAAAATTGGAGCAAAACAAATAACACAGAAAACGATTATTTCATTGTCTTTACTTTGACGTATATTGATATAAAAAAAAATTCATCCACTTTTTCGTGGTTCTACGGTTCTTTTTTTGTAAGTTCATACATGAACAGACACCAACTTCATTAATGTTCATCAAGTTCATTAGTTCATGATGTAGACGTATTCCGTGTTTATCTGTGAAACCAAGATTTATGTTCATATATGCACAAAGTTACTATGTACAATCTATTCGTAAGTGAATAAAATGGAACATGTAGGTACAACATGAAGTCAACAACCTTTCTTTCGATCTTCTTTGATGAAACAAACAATGATTTTAGTCAACAACTTTTCGTCACTTGCATTAAATTCAGATTTAATAACCTACCATATTGATTTGGCGAGATATAAAGGTTCCATATCAGTCACGTAGTATATCATTTTACATAATTACCCTTGTTCACTTATGAGTACACTGATGCACACACGTTTCGTTTAGTTTTATCCATTAAATCACATTAAGTCTATCTAAACCGTTGATGATAAATTTGGATGGATGGGAACAGTTAACAAGGTTAATACTAATTGTTTGGTTAATAAAAGAAGGGATCTCTATATAGAATATCCTATTTTTAGTTAAAACCGTGAGAAGTATTTTCATCCTTCAAATCAATTTCGATCGATCATCAATGCTGATAAACCTTTAATTTTAAAAGTAAATTGAATTAATTTGTTTAAAAATCTTTTAAAAAACATATATAAAAGTTTGAATAAACAAATTATATCAGAAAAACGAGTTTTTGTTCTCTTTAGTTTGACATCTGTCATGTTACACCTTTTTTTTCCATTTCGCTTATCTTCATAAAGAAAATAACATAACCTTCATTGTCCATTATGTCATGTTATTTTTTGTGAGGTTTTGGTTCATGTTTAAAAAATAGTTGTTACATTCACATTAAATACCTGAATATTCACAGTAAAATATGTGAGTATTCTATTACTTCTTGTGAAAGTTCGATTAGAAGTCAAATTTCGCTACCTTCATACGAAATAACCGAATCTTTGATGGCAGGTTACGTTATTTTCTTGTGAAATTTTTGATTCATGTTTGACAAATAGTCATTATATCAGGGACGGACCTAGATTTTTTTTTTCAAACAGTGGCACCATTTAAGTATAAGAAAAAACTATAAAAGGATATATGAGTTAATATATGCTCTAAAGTTGAAAATCGAGAATCCTGAGTAACCGGCCATGCCACTAAAGTAGTGATAAATAAGGAAAAATTTCAAACGGTGACACCGTTTGACTATAGAAACAAATTATACGGAATTTTTTTCAAACGGTGGCATCCTTTGACTAAGACAATGACACTAACATGATTCGAACTTGGATCTGGAGTGGAATAAAAGTCTTGCAAATCAATTTTACCAAATAAAACTTGTTCTCATTGTAGTTTCAAAATACATACGTTGGCACACAATAGATTAATACAGTTGCACCTTTCACGAACTTAATTTTTTTTACCATTCGATGGAGGAATAATACGGTGGCACAAACCACCCTATACAATTATCTAGTTCCGTCCCTGAGTAATAGATACAAGTTATATTCACCTTAAATAATTGGACATTCACAATAAGATATATGTGAATGTTCAGTAATTTAGTTGAAGGTTTGAAAAAGTGTTTGGATTCATCAAAAGTGATCTAATGGCCAAGAATCCTTCTCAAATTTCTCACCCCATCTCTTCTTTTCTCAAATGATTCCAATATAAACAGTAAAAAATTCAACTAAGAATATTAAATATCATGAAAAGTAAGAGATATAAATCGAAGGAGAGAAAACTGTATTTTTATTGCACTTAAAACGTTCTTTTTATAGCATCTTCAACAGATTTTCTAAAATGTGGATTTTAAAAATTTTATTCCAACAGATTCTCCAAAACCTTCCCTAAAATGGAAAAAAGTAGGAGAGACGATAAAATTATCGAAATTTGATGTTAACTTGAGAAACCACCAGTGCTATGAAAATGAAAAGTTAGAAACCATCAACGTAAATAATACATCTAAAGAACCATATCCAAATTTTGAGTAAATCACCGAGACCTTCAGGTGTAGTTCGCTCTAAATAAATTTAATAGAGTACACGGACCAACAAATAGATATTATAGGGTATGACGTCCTCTTCTGAAACATACTCAGAACACCGACCCCACAGCCATAATGGGAACAGAAAATCACTGCAAGGCAGGTGTAGTGCCAAGGTTTGAACTTGGAACCTCACGTCCATATATAAAGAGAGGAGGATCAAACGAGAATGTTGACTTTAAGAGGATATGAAAACAGTCAAATTACGTGTAAAATCACATGTGATTTTACATTAACAGACAAAAAAGATGTGGGCGACTTTGACCACATCTTCAGGCCATGGGCCAAAGTCATGTGAATCACATGTGATTTTGTACGTGATGTTAGTGTAAAATCACATGTTATTTGACTGTTTTCTTATTCTTTTAAATAGGTACAATTCTCGTTTGAACCGGCTCTATATGTATATATTTTAATTCAAGTACAATGGCAACGGCGTGGGACGGATGCACCAGGCGGTTTTCGTCTTTCTCGAACTACGGCCTCTTTAATCATCGGCAACTTTTGGTGAACCTTTCGCCATATGTGGTTCACTGCACCATCAACTGGGATCGTGCCAACACCACCCGGATAGCCGTTATCGTATTCAAAAAACGTCTGAACCTTAGCCATGTTTTCTCTAAACTCGCCTTTCTGCAGACCGGTATAGCTTCTGAGATGGTTCATGAGCCAATTTGGCCGTAGCGCTTCGCTCACGGCTACGAATACAGAGAATTTGGTGTAGTCCAATGTGCCTTCAAATGGGAGCTCGATGTTGTCACTAACAATGACGGGAATACAGAGACTTTGGATGGCATCGAAAAGACGGCATGAAGTCGGAGTATCGCCTGCCGGATGCAAACAGAATTCGGAAGTTCTCATTCCTTTTATTGATTGTTCCTTTCCGGTTGCATTTGGGAACCCTTCTTCCATTATAACTCCAGGTTCATTGATCAACAAGTCCCATAACTTTTCTCGTATCAAACCACCCTATCGAGGTTCACCCGGTGAATAGAGAAATTTTGAACTTTAGAAAAATGCATATAAACTTTAAACTTTAGCCCAAAAAGGAGTTAAAAATGTAAACGGAAAACTGCATGAAAAGGCAACGTACTTTGGTCTGTGTAACCTACTTCCAAAACCTTCATTTTGGTACACCTTAAATGTAATATCTCAAACATTTAGACTAAAGTATGGTACCTAAATGTTTGAGATGTCACATATGAAATACCAAGGTTTTTAAAGTATGTTACACCAAATAGGAATCGCAAAAAAGTATGTTGTATTTTCATGCATTTGTCCGTTAGTAAAATGCAATCAGATTTTCGTGTAAAGTTACCATAAAAACAAAGTTTGTGATACAAGTAATCAAATAAAGATTATACAAGGGTCATACCATCTTTTCCATATTTGAAGCAGGTTTTACTAGATATAATGCACATAGTTTTTGATATTTGGTACATGCAGGTCTAACTTCACATACGAGGTCTTCACGAGTTCACGGAAAGAACTGCTCTACTCTTTGGGATAGAGGTCAGATTTACTTATATCGTACCCCTAGACCCCACCTTCAATGGGATATTCTCGGCTCGTTTGGTTCGGTTTGGTTTAGGTCTAACTTCATATGTTATTACAACAATGACCACATCACATCATAAAACCGCGAAAGTAATTGGCGGGTAGATGAAAAATATATTAGTTTGTCCCCTCTGACCTCCAGGCCATTACCCTTCAGTTTCTCATCGCATTTTGCCAAATCCATCTCAAATTTAAGCAAAAATTTATATGTTCATGAGAGATTTATCTTTGCTAATTCCAAGCACTTGGTTCAATCTTGTGACCAGGTTCTAGCAAGGGTCAATTGGCCACGATCCTTAAATTTTAGCCTAAAAATGGCATAAATGTGAACAGAAATTGGAATATAATGATCATAGGCTAAGTTCACGAGTTGGAGATAAGTGGACTCGAACCGCTGACATCTGCCGCAGGGTAAATCACCGCCTCTCACAGTTTCTAGTGTGGCTGAACAAATATTATGGGTCACAGGAGAGAGGCCAAACAAATATATTTTTACTGTCAATGGATTTGAAACATATAATGAGTAGAATAATTTTTTGTTTCTTGGACTATAAAATCCATTCATTTAGTCATTGTACCCAGTGTTTTGATCAACTTTTGCACACTAGACCTACTTTCTGATAAAAACAACTTTTGCCGTATTTGCCCTTAATGATTACTCGCCTTTTATTATTGTAACAAAACCAAACACACCCAGTATGGGGTAGTAGAGTCTGCGTGCGGGTGAGATGTACATGGACCTATTCTCTACTCCAAAGCGTAGAGCGGTTGTTTCCGTGAAGATATCCAGCTTGCAAAAAAGCATTTGCAAAAAGGTTTAGGGAAGACCTGACTGCTTCAGATGGTGTGACAAAAATGTTTGAAGAACGGCACCAGACAAAGTAACTCTCTTTTTTGCTCGAAAGTGCGTGGGTAAAAGACAGTTAATAGTTAACTTTATAAATGGGCCAATCTGATGTTTTATCGTGAATGTGAGAATTATAAATGCTTACCCGATGCCGATGCTTAGCTCCTTTGAAATAGAGAAGAGTTTGGCGTTTCTGGTCTTCTGATAGGTGCAATCTTGGTAGCAAATATGTATAGGGTACTACAACATCTTTTAGCAGCGAAACCTGGGTATGTTGTATCATATCAGACATGTTGCCATTAGAAGCTTTCGAGTCAACCCTGTACCACCCACCAAAGTCAACAACAAGCAGAATGGCAGGAGCGATCTCATCTCTAACATGCGACATTGCAACAGGGTCTGCCAAAGAAAGCTTCAAGTTTTAACATAACCTGAGAATCCAGACATATTTATGATTCATAAAGTAAAGAGAAGATGAACAGATAACTAGTGGCAAAGTAGATTGCTGTAGCTTTCATATCAAGACTTCACTTGTAGGATATGCCCAAATTGCAAACTTCTAACAGTATGAAGCATTCATTGGAAAGAATGATCTATTGAGCAACTCAATTTTACACTCAAACTACAGAATGTCAATAACACAAAACAAACTTTCAAAATCACATGTTTTTTCCCCTTTGGTTGGCAGATACATTACTTCATGTGAAACTCTTACATCAAATAATACTGATTTTGTAATTTTATTGATATTTATAATTCTTTTATATCAAAACTATAAACATTTAAAATTTTGATAAATTCTGCTTCTTCCACGTGATCTTAATGAAAGTTTGATGAACTTTGACTTGGATAGAAATTACAATAAATAAATGAACATATTGAAGAAAAATAAATTCTTTATCGTAAAAATAAAAAATAAAAAAAAATAATGCTTGCCCAGGTGGCTTCTGGAGATGCTATATTTCTTGAGGATAATTCAATAAGGAGCTAGCATTGCTCCAACATCTATTTTCCGTTGAAGACAATCTACTCTTAATGCTGATATAGCACAAACAAGTCTTCTTCTACCTTTCTTTCTGCATAACTTTCACCACCACCTAATGGCTCAGATGTATATTATCATATAACTTGAAATAGCAAAGCCTTTATCTTGTTTCACATGACACTTAGCCAATGACTTATAGTCTTGTTAATGGTAAAGACTCCAATAACATTGCATGTCACGTGCTTTCCAGAAAACCTCATATCTGGTACCCAACTAAGCAGAAATTTATTTGTTACATGTAAGCCATATTCATTACTTGTTAAATTTTTATAACTGGGACATACACAAATTAACTGCCACAAAATGTGAGGTCGAGCTTTGCTTGTTATATATTTCATAAAAGCCAGTGCAAACTTTTGAGACACGGTTAATATCAGTTGGGGGATCTAAACAAGAACAGATGGGGATTTTCTGCTGATTTTGACTTCTGCAGCGAGTCCTGTGAGTTGGCAAGATACATTTGTTTCTAACCTCCCTATATCATCTAGTCACATCACTTGCATATTTCAATTAGTGCAATGTGATGTTTAGGAACTTTCTAATGTTGAGTCAGTCTTTAAGTTTGAAATATTTTATTACTCCATCCATGACTAGTCTTGTACTTGAGATCTTCATCAAAATTTAGAAGTGAAAATTGCTCCAGTTTCCCTTTTTTGGGCATTATGTTAAAAACTTATTTAATTTATTATAAACATCGTCATATTAATAATGCAAAAAAAAGAATATTTCAGAACTGATTTAAGTAAATTTATGTGTTAAGAGATCTTGCATGGATCACCTTATGCCTTTGCAAAAGAATAATATGGTGTAGCTCCATGGAAGCAACTCATTCATTGCAATATTCCCATTTGCAACTCTCAACTTACTTATTCATTGCAATGTTTCCAACTAAGTTTAAAAGTTACTGAGGGATGTTCTTCTTCGGCCAATTTTTACTGGAATGTCTTGCTATATCTTCGACAGTAACATTCCCTCAACTCTTCTATCAAAATTGAAGAACTCCATACAAATGATTGCTGAAGAGAGAGAAATGATTTTATTATTATTCCCATTGATAAGAACCTTTGAAATTAAATGTTTAGAAGATAAAAATAATATTATATTAAATGTATTTGACTATTTTCATAATATAACTAATGTTGCAATCTCCAAAAATGGAGAAGCTCTTGGAGTTTAATGTAATTGTTTTTGGAGAATCTGTTGGAGATGCCTTAATATAGCCTTCTGCATGGTTGTTTCACATGCCTTCGAATTATTTTGGTTATGCATGTTTTTGTTTATAACTTTGTTCAGGAGAAACCAAACTACATCTGAATCCTATTAAATCTGCTTTGTGGATTTCTCCTGTATCCATAAAGCCATAAAGGTTTAAGGTGCTATAATCCTCACTTGGAAGATACTATTTGAAGTCAGTCTGAGGCTTATTTTTCTCCTACTAGTGTCTCTAATCCTACCCCTCTTTTTCTAACTTTGAGAGTACCTATTTTTGTATAAATCTGCTTATAGAAGCCATAGAATCCTCTAGTGCAACCACCCAAGTGTTATTTATTCATACACTTGACGGTCTTTTACATCACTATTGCTCTCCATCTTTGGGCCACATTGTTGGTGACTTCTCCATTCAAATACCGAGACCTAGAATGCTCACCAAATAGCTCTCTCATGCTCCTTTCCCTGCTATGTCTATGTGAAATGGCACTCACACTTGCACGTAACATCTGAGCATTATATTATCATTTAACTATAGTTGTGTGCCCTTCACCTCATCCCATAGATGGTCATACTATTTCCAGAATGTGAAGGGACACTTTAGTTTCAAAATAGTACTAGGATATGTATGAGAAGGATGTAAATACAAAATGACATTTGGTCATAGAGCCTTGTTTTTCTAAAACAAATGTTTCGTTTGTGAAACTCGGTCTTTGCTATCAAGCTTCATTTTCATGATTTTTTCCATCATTTGACAGTGTATCTTGTGGCAAAGGGATTCTCAAGCTTTTGTTATTGACAATGAAAAGTACTTCTTCCCTTTGAAAAGTCCTCTAAAATCAATCATCATCCTTGACAATCCGTTTACAATCTCAAGGAATCTCCCAAGCATTTCCCTGAAGGTTCTTCACTGTTTGTTTTGTCCATGTTATTGTAGATCCGAGAAGTTCCATTGGAAATGATTCTAAGATATTGATCCTGGATAACGCACATACTTTATAGTCAATGAATCTTGCTTTGCAGGATCATGTAATGTTTCGCACCTCCTATTTATATGTGTGCTACTTTGATGCAAATTGGTACACTGATCAACGATCCAGTCTAGAGACAGTTGATCTAAATGATCGATAGAAATAAAGAAGACTGATCAGCAAAGAAATGATCTAGTTGTTAAATATTTGGGAATTGCATATGGTCTAGTTAGTTTGATCCATTTTGCATCTTACACTAGCAGTGGGATGTTGTTCTCTGTATCTTGAGGTGCCTAACAGAATAAGTGCATTGCATCCAAATCACTCTAGTCTATAACCATGTTTGACAAGCATACAAATTCATAACATGGGCTTAGAGAACCCATTAACACACACAAATGAATTCTTTTTGCAAAGAAAATGATATTTAACACCCTCCTGAAGACAATACACCCTACTAAACAATTTGTGATATAAAGAGTAAACGAAATAAGAAGCAAGTACCTGTAAGAACAAAGACATGATCTCTACCACCAGAACGTTTCCAAGCCTCAGTCCCTTTCACAAAACTCAAAACCTCCTTCTGTCTTGCATAGTCATCATTCCCCACCTTCTTTCTGAAAGCCCCTTTGGCAATACCAAGCTGCAATTCAGCACTTATTGTCGCAAAGAAAGGCACAAAAATGACATCAGCCTGTTCAGGAGAAAAAACACGCCTTGCAAAAGAGTTACTTCTTAACTCTTGTGGAGTTATCAGATCACCCATGATCCAGTACTCGGCACTGTATTGTTTGATCAATGGGCTCTCAGGATAACGGGGAACATTTTTACTATTCCAGGAATGGGTCAATCTGATTTGATTGTCTACTTCACTGCCCAGTCTTGAATCGTGGGATAGAGACCAGTAGTTTTCTAAAAGACCATAGTTGAGTGATCTAGGTAGATCTGAAACGTATACATTGATTGAATTGCCGATAGCCTTGTTGTTGGGTAAGTCGATGGCAGCGGTAGAGATGAGACATGAAGAAGATGCCAATTTGGATGTGCGATTAGATGATAGAAGGAAGAGAGAGAGTAAAAGAGCAAAGAGCACGGAGATTGAGAGAAACAAAGTAGAAATTGAGCATGCAGAAGCTTTACTGCTGTTGTTGTACTTGGGGGCCATAGTCTCACTTGCTCTTAGCCGCCACACCTTTGCATACTAGAAACACTTCCCTCATATTTGGCCAAAAACAGCTCGTATTAGAGTACTCACTCCTGCAACATTATTTTCCAGAATAACAAAATTAAGAATTAGGATTTATAGTAATGTTGAATTGCAACACCATAACCAATGAAATATCTGTTTTCATTATAATCTCTATCTGAATATCTTCAACACAAATGTATTAGTTGCAATTTTGCAAACATCTCTGAACTAAGAGCGAAAGAAAAGGTTAACAACTGAAAATAATCCTACATCCAAGAAGATTTTATTCCATTTCCTTTGGCCAATTTACTGATCGTAGTTACACCATCCAAATCTATGGGTAAACTGCATAAAAGTGTGTAAGATAAATACCATGTGAACCTGGCTTCTACAAGTACGTTTTGGCAGAAACCTCTAATTCACACAAAGCAGGTGTCTCCATTACTGATCCAATCCCATTAACTAGGATGTATATAAGCAGAAACATCCACAAAGAAACAGCACAATGGAATTCATCTTTTTTTACATAATCTATCTATTTCCATAATCCATGTTTAGCCATTTGTTGTAGAAAGAAAGAAAGAGATCCAATTGCCAATCTCAACCATAAACCTCACCAGATTCAAACACAAACACACTCGGTAAGTAAATTTTTGGCTTTGGGTGCATCAATAGAGAAACCAAGAAAGAACTTAAGCAAAAGTTGATACTGCAAGAACATAATCCCATATAAAGTTCATAACCAACCAAGGTTCTAAATGATGCGAGGCGTGGCATGGCGGCGATGTCAAGCCTCAAGTCTTACGAGTTACGCAACGCTACAATGTTTTTCAAGAAGTGCTCTAAGGCGGCATACACACAAACACACATACACTCATACCCGCACTTGTATGTGTTAGTGTTTTGAATAATATTGTAGAACAAACTAATTAAAGCAATAAAACTAAAAAAGAAAGAAGAACCATTGATACCAAATATATAGAGCTTACAGAATATGATATCAAGATTCAAGAGTACAAAAATCGGGATTAAATCTCTTGAATCTATACTCACAACTTTTTTCAATTTTCAAAGAATTTGTGTTCATGTACTGGAATGTGAGTAACTATTTGCCTATTTGAGGTTTTAGTTTTAAATTTCCTTTTTATGTTTATTTAAGTCCTAGGACATTATATACTAATGTAATCACAAACCTTACAAAATAACGTAACATAGCGCGCCATAACATGTTACAATGCAAGGCAACCCTAGAGTGGATCCATAGGGGTTAACGTGTACATGGCGGCGAACCCAAGCCTTGACACCATAATGAGGCCACAACAAGTTATTTAGAACCGTGTAACCAACCAGAACATGTAATATACGAAGTAAACCAAGAAATGCAGTATGGAGCTATCATTAGGGCGGAATACGAGCATCATAACTCATAAGTCATAACTCAAGAGGACGAGACTAGTCTCTGATGTAGTTCAATTTCAAGGTTTCCCTATGTAGTTGGAATTCAATGTTTCAATCAAGTCTAAAAACCATGCAAAGTTGTAGAAGATTTCTATTCAACATGTTGAAACATTGCATGCTAGGGTTTTTCAATTTAGTGAACTGATAATCATTAGTTCTATACTTCAACACACACCCACACACCATATATTCCATAGTGGCATAACATAATGGAAAACCTTAAAATCCGAAAGATTGTTGGACGTTCTCAGTCATGTTTTCATCAAAATGCCATCCACTAATCCACTCCACAGATCCACAAACCAAAATATCGCCTCTGATCTTGAGTGATCTTCATGTCCAAGACCCTTTCCACCATTTACCAAGCAGGCTCGAAAGTTACATTTGCATCCAAATATTTTTACAGGGACTCAGGGAGTACAAGTTTTGAGTTTTGACCTCTGTAGCACTTTTGTTTTAATCTAACCTCCTTGTTTCATTCTCAATAATTGTTTCTTAACAATTACATATCTCATCAATAGATTCCCTACCAAATGCCTTCAAGGCCAAAGTTCTTTTTAACTCTTGTTTGCTGTCAACCCCTCTTACTGTCACTTCACACCTTTTGATTGCTTGTGTTATGCATCTACTCTCAAAGCAGGCAGGGGCAAGTTTCATGCTAGAACATCCTCTTGCATTTTCCTTGTATATCCTATTGGCAAGAAGGCTTAAAAGTTGTACAACTTTGACACCAAGAAGATTCTGATTTCCAGGGATGTTGTATCAAGAAACAACTTTCACTTACCTCAAACACAACTCCACATTGCCTCTTCCTACCAGATTCACATCCTTTCACAGATCCTTCACTCACTACATTCTCAGATGATTTCATTTATATGAATTCTTAATCTTCTTCCCCTCTTACCATCTCAAACATCCCTTCTCCTCATGCATATTCTTCCAAAGTGAAAGTGGCATAGTCAGATAGTCTAGATTGTCTGACCGTCATAAATCATATCAAAAAACCCAAACTTCAGAAAGGCAAAAGATCCTAAATCCCAATTCTAACAGCATCATGAAATAGGATTTGGAGTTTCACCTCCAAATCCCAATTCTAACAAGACTTCATTCCAAGTAGTTGCTAAATGGGAGCCTAAAGAACCAACATAGAAAATTCTTCATTCAAGCACAAAAACTCCAGGGAGCTACACTGGTCAAAATGGTTATTTCTAACCAAGTTTTCTATTCTACCTTCTACCCAAGCAAAAACTAGCATTCAAACAATCAAACATTGTTCTTCAAATAGAAGATCTGGTAAGATATTGAACAATCAGGAATGAAGAACTCAAAGCTGAAACTCGAAATACCTGTGAACCATGAACCGTCAAACAAATCAATTTGGTAACCGGTGACTTTGTTCTTCGCTGATGCTCTTCGTGTCTTTGTTCTTTTGTCCAATCCAAGAATCAATTTGGTAGTTCGTCGCTTGCTGGCTTTGTTCTTCACTTCGTGCTTTGTTCCGCGTTCCAATCGAAGAAACCTAAATGCCTATCATCAGATGAGATCCGAAGTAAGCACAAAGGAAGCGAATACTTTTATAAAAATGATTTCATTCTAACTTACTTAATCTCCGTCGAAGGGAGGAGGAGAGGTCCGCGAGATACGGCGGCAGACAGTGTCAGTGGAACTCCGGTATCTGATCGATCAGCGGAATTGGGAGTGGCAGTTTCCGTTGTCCGAGAGTGTGTGACTGTGGTGGTTTTTTTATTTTGTTTTACCTTTGGTCCTCATACTTTACATAAAGTTTCAATTTCCCCCCTTTACTTTAATTATTCATAACTGACCACTATAAATCTAACTAATCAAATCAAATCAAATCAAGCCAAATCAAACTTAGGGACCACCAAGCCGTGCATGTTATCAAACATTGCACCATGTTGTGTAGGTTAAAACTTTTGTGATGTTTGCGGTTTGTATATTTATCAAACCACACTTCGAAAGTTGAAGTATTATTTCTGCATCTCTTTGACCAAATCTGCTTGAAAACACCACTTCCCATCCGACATTTTGACTGCATGTGTTAAATATCTGCCAACGTTCATTTTGAGTCAATATCGAACTCTCTTTGTGTTTTTGAATCATCGATTTGTGGTTCAAACGACATCACACCGCACATTCTTATATATTTTTAAAATGTTATATGTGTATACATATTCATTAATTAAATGAAAGTAACAAATACGTTATTTATTAACTTTATAGTTTTTCTTTAGTTTTACATTACAAATTCTTTATTTAAGTTATTTTCTTTTGTCTTTTATTTGACGTCATCATCGACTTTATTTTGAATTTTACCTTTTAGATGTATTTGGAATAATTATGGAAACCTTTTGTTTGTTTTGCACAATTTTTAATCACATTTTGGACGTTTTAGAACTTTTTATTGTAGGGAATATGATAACGTCCTCGTCAAATTTATTTTAATGTTGTAATTTTTATAATTATTGGATTGAATGTGTTAGGTAGAAACCGCATAAACCATGTCACACTGCACTGCATTGTTTTTGTGGTTAAACATATACGGTGCAGTTTGTTGTTTGGGAAAATCTTCAAATAGCATATACGGGTCGGTTTGCAGTTTGACCCTAAACCATTGTTCGAAAACGCTCACCGTAACAGCCACCACTGTGCGCCATGGCTCAAGGCTTGTGTCTCACGTCACATTAAGCCTGAGGCACGCCATGGTGTAATGCGCAGTTTTTGTAACACGATATTTGATTTAACTTATCTTTTTGACGTCTTATTTGTTAGTTTTGATATATAACTTAATTTAAATTGTTTGTTATCATTGATTCATTGAGTAATAATAGAAAAACATATGTTTGTGTATATAATATTATACATGGTATAGAGATTTGTCGTCATAAGTCATGTCTTGAAAAACATCACAACCTCGTTGTGGCTTCCAAAGCTTGAGGCTTGGTCTTGCCGCTATGCGACGCCCATGCTATTTAGAGTCTTGCCTAAACCACACCAAACCGCACCACGGACACCCCAAACCAAACCAAATGAACCCACTAGACGGACTGTTTTTATGAAGACCTCTGACTTGTGCAAAAATACGAGCAAATATAAAAAAGATAAAAAAGGAAAAAAAACCACCACATAAGATAATACTTTATTATCGACCATTTCTCTTTGTTTTTTTGTATATGTGGTATAATGAACAAATTGAAAATGTTGGATATCGAGTAAAAAAGAGGATAAATCGGGTTGTATCAACCCAAAACATATGTTTGTTCATTTTATTTCAATTTCGAAAATAAACATTGTAACACCCGTAAAATCCTATAAAATTTTATATTTTGGAAAATATAGGAATTTCCTCAATTTTGACTTTTAGTGTTGGTTCATGTGCTAAGAAGCATGTTGGTTTGACCTCAATTTGGTATGATCTCATTAGAAAATGATCCGTCCCAACCAATAATGAGTTCTTGAGTTAATCATATTTTTGGAGCATGTGCTTGCATAAACATAGGTTAAATGCCTTTTTTATTGCTTATGCTAACTTTTATTGAGTAGTCAAATAAGTGTGGAGTATATTAGGCTAATTTGAGTTTTGGGGACATTTGTCTAATTTAATTTGCTCTATGTTGAGCTTTGGACATGATATGCATTTAGTGTATTTTTATTTATGAATTACATGTTTTAAGTGCATTAGTCATTTATTTGGTGTCATGTAATTTAAATTGTAATACATTGGATCCATAGGCATATGATTCAGTCCTGTTTGATAAGTGAGGAGTCTTGATGTCTCCACTTTGTGACCTATGCTCGAATAGGCATTATGTTCTTCTCGATATTATGAAGGTGAATTCTTATGAGTTGAACTCTAGACCGTTAGGCTTGTGGTTTGGAGAATTAATCCTTATGTATGAGGGTTAAATGCATTGTGTTATCAAGTAGAAAGTTTGAGCTTCCTATCTTGAATGCTAGTGAGTAGACACTAAAGGTTGAATAGGAACCTTAAGGTTGGAACTCAACCGAAGAATAAATGAGCACTAAGATTCGGTATTCTTGAGGTGAAACTCGGTGGAGTAGACACTAAAGATATTGTGGAATTGAGGTGAAACTCGATGGAATAGACACTAAAGGTATTAAAGACTTGAGATGACACTTATTATAGTACGCACTCAAGTCAATGAATCTGAGGTACAATTCGATAACATTGATATGTAGCCTACTTTTGTTTTCAACCCACATTCAATGGAAACGAGTATCCCCCGTCACCAAAAGGTTTTGTTTTGAGTATCGAGTATTATTCATGTTTTTGGTGACATTTTGAGTGTGGAGTGTTATCCGTGATTTGTGGATTTTGGTATTGTATCTTACTTATGTTTTTAGGTGTTTTGGATAATAAAATTTTATCCATGTTTCCAGTATTTGAACATTATACTTCATTCAAGTTTTAGGTGAGTATTGAGGAATGGTACTAGCAACATTGTGAAGAGTCGAATGCTAGTTAGAGGCACGAGAATGATTGGTTATTTGGAGACGTCTTATGTACTTTAAAGATTGTGACTGTTATGGATTTTTGGTATCAGTGGCGGACGCAGAAAAATATAGGGTAGGGGGCACCATCTGTGAAAATTATTCATGTCGCCAACATGAAGACCAAGTATTTACGTTTTATTCCGTTTTATTCGAAGGAGCAGAGTTCGATTCAGGTGTTGATGTTTTCCTTTTAAAAAAAATTCCATTTGATTTGCCTAATTGCCTACAAAATTACCCAACAAAATTAACCTAAAATACCTAACCTATAGCATTTACCAATTACCAATTACCACAAAATTAACCAACAAAATTAACCTAAAGCATTTACCAATTATCACAAAATTAACCAACAAAATTAACCTAAAATAAATACCTAACCTAAAGCATTTACCAATTACCAATTACCACAAAATTAACCTAAAATACTACTATATATATGAAGTTGGAAATTAGAAATTTAGAATCTTTACCCAAGAGGCAAGAGGCACAGTCGGTCTCGGTGACTCGGTTAGTCGGCTAGGCTAGGGTTCCTKTCCTCCGGCTCCGGCTCCGGCAGTCGCACTCGCACAGGGGCACCGCGCACAGCAGCAGAGTGAGACAGAGACGAGTAGACGACAGGCGCAGGCGGCAGGCGCGCARCAATGAAGATTGAAGAAGAAGTCTAGAAGAGAAGAAGTGAGAGTGAGGTCTGGACTCTGGAAGACTGGAACTCTGGTTTGGTTGGTCGCATAGCAATTAGCAGGTAGCACAGGGGCCTCTTGCCTCATATGGTTGGGGGCCCAAATACATTTAATTAAAAAATACATGTAAATATTTTTTTTTGGGCTTTCATGTGTAATATTTATTGGGGGCCCAGGACCCATACCCTCTCAAGGTACATCCGCCACTGTTTGGTATCACTTGTCCTTAACCTAGACTTGGTTTGTTGTTTGTTGATGTTAAATCTAGATTTACTTTCCCGCACTTTACTTTACCGCCATTTCCATTTTCGTTCTTTACTTATTGCAATTTACTTTTCTATATTTTTTTATTTTCGTTATTTATTTTTCAGTTCTTACATATTTTGCAAGAAGAATCCAAGCGATGATGGGTTATCTTAGCTTGGGGTGTAAAGGGAAGTTAAGACCGAAACTAATGTGAAAGTACAGATGTGTCTTTTATTAAAGATTACATTTAATTAATTGACAACTAATTTATGTATGAAGATGCATTAACTTTCATAGTTAAGATAAATATTAAAACCCAAGGAAATATGAGAAGACTATAAATAACTTTAGACCTGACAAGTGATATACTCTTACAGTGTAGGATAGTAACATTGTGTCACATTGGGATTCATGACGTTTAACATGAATGATGTTGTATCAATAGCAATGGGCATGTGTGTGTTAGAAAAAAGGATAGTAGAAGGAGAATAAGTGCAGCAAATCAAATGATTAAGAAGTGAGAATCACTATCCTTATGATATTAATACCCCCCACTATCAAGGTTGTTTGGGTTATATGCTATGATACCCCCAGGATTCCCTAATCAAATAAGATATATTCAACAACAGAATATATCTTCCATGACCATATTGTAGAATTGTATTGAAGAAAAGAAGAGGATTAAGAGAAAGAGATCAAATGATGAAGTGATTACACATATAACTAGATTTGTGTTTACAACTGATTGTGGATAAGAAATAACCAACATTTGACTTTGTCCAAATCAGAAAATCATGAACAAATTGTCAAAAACATTTAGGAAAGACGTATTCCATAGGCTGCTGTGAGTTTCCAAGTGAGTTAAACTCATAAAAACCTGATTTTTGGAATTCGAAATCAGTGTGGGACAGGTGCTATCTTTTGACCATTTAGTATACGTGTAAAATTCACACAACAAGGCCAAACCATCCTTTAGCTAACTTGCTCTCTTAAAGAGCTCCACAAGTTGTTTAAAGATTATAAACTAAGAAAGAATTTATCACTCTACCAACGTGGGACAAGTGACATGCCTCAAACTCATATATATATATATATATACATATATATATATATACATATATATATATATATAGAGGGAAGATCAAATGTTAACCAACAATTTTGTGTTAACTTTGCAAACCATGTCAACCAATCAAATTCCATTATTCTAGTAGG